CTCCCTGCTCAGTGCAGAGCCCGACATGGGGCTTGATCTCATGACCCTGAGATCATGACCTGAGCTGAAACCAAGAGTCTGATGCTTAACTGAGCCATCCAGGCACCCCTACATTTCTTTTTTTATACTATGATAACTAAGTATTTTATACTTAACAGCACATCTCAGTTTGGACCAGCTATATTTCAAGTGCTCAGTAAATCATGTGGCTAGTGGCTGCCATATTAGACAGCTCATCTCTGTAGCATTCCATCCTATGGATATGTTAACAGTTACCTCTTCCCCCTCTAGGTAAACATCTGGACTGTTTCCAGTTTCAGGTTATCATAAACAGTGCTTCTGTGAATGTTACAATGTCAATGGGATTTTAAATGATAGAATTATTTTTAAAAAAATTGATATAATTATTTTGGAAAACACTTCGACCTTATCTCATAGAGCTGAAGGTAAAAAAATATTTGACTCAAAAATTCTCCTAGATATATACCTTAAAAAAGAAGTGCTTGTGTGTGTGAGGGTACATGTTCAAGATGCCCAGATCTACATTGTTCATGACAGCTCCAGAGGGAGACATCCCAAATAACCAAGTAGAATGAGTTACGGAATTTTCATACATGACATTTTCAAAGACCAGCTTGTCAGGGTTCTTTTCCAGTTTCTCCATTTCCTTGAATTCTTGTGGTTGGCAGCACCCAGTTGTAAGATGTCTTGCTTTGGAAAGAGAGAAGTGGACCAAGAAAATAATGGCAAAGACAAAAGGGGGTGAGGTCAGTTTAGGAATTGAATTTTGCTCTGCCAGGATCCACATTTCTTAGATTCTGTGTGTCACACATCAGTGTGTGTCTCCAGTGATGTTTATGATTCAGTCACTAGAGTTGGCAAGCTCTTTTGATAAAGATCCAATTAGGCATCACCCTGATGAGCCCTCACTGAATATTTGATTTATTTTGTAGCTCTTACCATAACTAGCTAGAGATCATGTAGTGATGTAATGTCTTACTGCCTTCGAAGAGACTAACCTGTGGGGGGCCTGGGTTGAGGCACTTCTGTTGATTGTAGTATCCTCAGTACTTAGCACACTGCCCCACACACATCAGCCCAGCGGCTCCAGTAAATAGCTGTCATGTGAATAAATGAAAGATTGCTTTCTCAGGCAGGAGAGTGAGGCTGCCAGAGATTGGACGAGACACTGGATGGGCCACTGTAGGTGTCATATCTGAATGCACTGGTCTCACATCACACAAGCCAAGGGGTTGACATCATTGTTCTAAACTGCTTGGGTGCCCTCCCCAGGGATTACAGGTTAACTGGTGTGGAGTGCTCCAGCTGGGGATTATGCACATTCCCCAGGTGACTCTAATAGGAGAAAATGCGAGAACCTCTACTCTGTAGAAATTAGAGCAGTCATTCTCAATGTATGGCTCCCAGACTTTCAGCAGCAGGAGCATCTGGAAACTTGTCCTAACCCAGGCTTGCAGAATCAGCAACCTGGGGTTGGGGACCAACAATCTATGTTTTAACAAGCCCTCCAGGTGATTCTGATACACAGAAACCTTCACTCTTCAGTGGGTGTCTCAGTAGCTTCAGGGTGCTGTAACACAGTACCACACACTGGGTAGCATATAAACAACATGAATTTATTTCTCAGTTCTGGAGGCTGGAAGTCCATGATAATAAGGTACCAGTGTGGTCAGGTTCTAGAGAAGGTTCTCTTCTGGGTTGTATACTGCCTGCTTCTTGTATCCTCACATGGTAGAAGGGGCAGGACGGTTCTCTGGGGTCTCCTTTGTGAAGGCACTGTTCCCATTCATGGGAGCTCCAGCTCGGAACCTAGTTAGGCCCCACCTTCTAATACCATCACATTGGGGCTTAGGATGTTGACATTTGAATTTGGGGGGACATAAAGTGTCCTGTTGTAGTGGGGCGGTACTGAAAGTTGGTTTTGTTTTTTGCCAGTAGATGGTTTAAATTATTTCCATGTCCATTCTGTGTTCTTTCTGCTCCCTCCAAACAGTATTAATTTGAAAGTGTTTTCGTGTGCATTTCAGCAAACCCAATCATTACGCACCAAGCAATGATGTCTATGGTGGAGACATGCACGTTCGACCCATGCTTTCTCAGCCGGCGTATTCTTTCTACCCAGAAGATGAAATTCTTCACTTCTACAAATGGACCTCTCCTCCAGGAGTCATTCGGATTCTGTCTATGCTCGTTATCGTGATGTGCATTGCCATATTTGCCTGTGTTGCCTCCACACTTGCCTGGGATCGAGGCTATGGAACTGGTGTACTGGGTGGTGGTCTAGGCTACCCTTACAGCAGTGGCTTTGGGAGCTACGGAAGTGGCTATGCCTATGGTTATGGCTATGGTTATGGCTATGGAGGCTACACAGATCCAAGAGCAGCAAAGGGCTTCCTCCTGGCCATGGTGGCCTTTTGTTTCATTGCTGCATTGGTAGTATTTGTTACCAGCGTAATACGATCTGACATATCTAGAACAAGAAGATACTACTTGACTGTCATAATACTGAGCGCTATCCTGGGCATCATGATGTTTATTGCCACAATTGTCTATATAATGGGAGTAAACCCAACTGCCCAGGGTTCTGGGTCTATGTACAGTGCACAGATATATGCCATCTGCAACCAGTTTTATGCATCTGCAACTACTGGACTTTACATGGATCAATATTTGTATCACTACTGTGTGGTGGATCCCCAAGAGGTATCGGTGGTTTTCGTCCTTGCCCCTGCTTTGGGTATAGGCACTCGGGATGCTTAACAGAATCACTTTGGGAACTTTTAAAAAGTATTGATGACAAGGCCTCACTTGTATTTAAATCAGAATGTGGAGAGGGGCTGGGTGTCATTGTTAAGATAGTATTAACATACCATATAATTCATCCACTTAAAGTTTGGTTCAGTAATTTGAGCATATTCAGAGTTCTGCAGCCATCACCGTAATCAGTTTTAGAACGTTTTCACTATCCTCAGAAGAACCCCCATATGCGTTAGCAGTAACTTCTCCTTTCTCTAATCCTTCCGAGATTTAGCCGACTACTAATCTTATTCTATAGATTTGCCTATTCTGGATATTTCATATATACAGAATCACACAGTATGTGATCTTTTATGATTGGCTTCTTTCATTTTTTTAAGTTTTATTTAATCTCTGGACCCATCGTGGGCCTCGAGCTCACAACCCCAAGATCAAGAGTCACATGCTCATCCCCACCCCCACCCCCGATTAAGCCGTCCAGGCGCCCCTATGATTGGCTTCTTTCATTTCACAGTAATGTTTTCCAGGTTCATGCATGTTATATCAATTCCTTTTTATTGCTGCATAGTATTCCATTGTATGGCTATACCATATTTTATTCATCAATTGATGGACGTTTGGGCTATGTCCATACTGGCTCTTATGAATAATGCTCTGAACATTTGTGTACAGGTTGTTGTGTGAATCTGTGTTTTAATTTCTTTTGAGTATTTACCTAGGGATAGAATTGCAGGGTCTTATGTCTCTTCTGTGTGTTTAAGCTTTTGAGGAACTGCCAGACTGTTCTCCAAACTGGTTGCTCTGTTTTACCTTTACCAGAAATGTGTGAGGATTCCATTTTTTATACATGCTCACCAGCATTGTTTTGTCTATTTGATTCTAACCATGCTAATAGGTGTGAAGTTGCTAATCTTTTTCCTGATGGATTTCTAATTTTTTTTTCCTCTCCTTACATTGACTCAGGAATTCTCTTTTACCTGAATGAGTCACTCTTTTGGGGTGAGATCATCTCCAGTAACTACCATTATTTTGAAGACTGAAATGTTTTCCCTCTGAATTTCAGAATATTTGTTGTTGGCATTCAGATGTATCTCTGGTAAACAGGGCTGAGGGTTGGTGCTCCTCTCTTACCACACCCCCATCTCTCTTAGTCCTCTGTGTGCCCCAAACCTGTATTCACTGAAAAAGGATATCACTGTTAGGTGGCTGCACAGAGACCCTCCTGTTACGATGAGCAGAAACCAGGCCAGGGTCCTGGTACTGCCTCAGTTTCAAGTGTCTCCAGGCCAGTCGACCACTTAACATACTTATCAGACACTGGGAGAACTGTCGGGGCAAAGGTTTCCTTGTCACAGGGCCCTTTCTTGTGAGTACACAAAAGACTCCTCCAACAGAAACCACCTGCCAGACTACGTGAATCACTCATCCATTTTCTCTAATTTATAGCTTAGTTAGATCATGTCTCATAATTTATGGTAAGGTAGATCCTCTATAGACTGGAATTTACATTCAGTGTAAAAACATTTGCTCAGTATCTGTTACGAACGAGATTATAAACATGGTTATGTATTTAAAGCTATTTCTGAGAATAACATTTTTCAAGCCCTTTAGGAGGATACTGATGATTGAGTTAATTTACTGGCCATTTTCATCTGTTAATAAAAATAAGGCCACTTGGCGCTCAAGCTTTGGAACTAGATTTCTGTAATTTAAAAGGGACTGATAGTACCTAACTGTAAGCCTGTTCTGAGTATTGAATTAAGCTGTGTATGTGTTGTTAGCCTCAGCCCAACATTTTATATTTCTAAAATGTAACTGTATCAGTTTTATATCTGTTAAACCACAGATATGTAGTGTAGGGCCTTAGGTTTTTACTGAGGGTAGATTAGGATAAAGTAAACAATTAAAATCTGTGTCAATATCTTTAATCTCTTTTTAGGCAATTGCGATTGTACTGGGGTTCATGGTTATCGTGGCTTTTGCTTTAATAATTTTCTTTGCTGTGAAAACTCGAAGAAAGATGGACCAGTATGACAAGTCGAATATTTTGTGGGACAAGGAACATATTTATGATGAACAACCCCCCAATGTTGAAGAGTGGGTAAGTGTTAAAAATCAGCAAATGTCCTGTATTTTATTAAAACACCAGGTTTCTGTCTCTAAACCTGACCTTTAGTGCTTTGTGAAACTATGTTCTTAGAATTACTGTTTTTGTTTGTTGCAAAAGTTGTGCCCTCGTGTTTTACTCAGATCTTTAAGAAGGTGCTATGATAAGTGGAAATTGTTTTACTGCAAAATGAAAACCAGATTTTTTTTTTTTTTAGATTTTATATATTTATTTGGTGGGGGGTTCATGCACAAGCAGGGGGAGGGGCAGAGGGGGAGGGAGAATCTCAAGTAGACTCTGCACTGAGCCCGACATGGGCTTGATTTCACGACTCTGAGATCATGACCTGAGTTAAATCAGGAGTTGGGCGCTGGGACGCCTGGGTGACTCAGTCAGTTAAGGGTCTGACTTTTGATTTCGGCTCAGGTCATGATCTCAGGGTCGTGGGATTTAGCTTGGCATTGGGCTCCATGCTCAGCATGGAGTCTGCTTGTCCCTCTCCCTCTGCCTCTCCCCTCACTTGTGCTTTCTCTCCTGTCTCTCAAATAAGTAAAATCTTAAAAAAAAAAAGTTGGACGCTTAGCTGACTGAACCACCCAGGCACCCCTCAGTTTTCCATTTTTAAGAAGTGTATTTAGGCACTGAAAAGAAATGGCTTCTAAAGGAATCATGCAGAAAGAACTTGGTCTTTGCAAAACAGTACCATTCCTCCCCCTCCCCGTTTGTTTTCCTGGTTGTCATTTTGGAGGGGAACACTGTTGCTTAGGGTGCTTGCTGTCTTGGGTTAAGAAGGGTGTTTTTGGAGTGGTAGCAGGTGCCATATGTCTGAAGTTTTTACATCAATAACAGCGTAGCAAATTACAGTGACTAATTGCATGGATACTTATGAAATACTTCAGTGAGGCAAAGAGAGATTAGAGCAATTCCCTTTTTTATATATACTGTATTGTTATTTCTACCAGTATGTGTAGATGTGATTTGCTGAAAGCTTAGGAAGTTCCTCTCTCCAAAAATATCCGGGAAATATATATTACTGATACCTAACATGTCTTCAGAGATGTCTGAAGTGGGACTTTCTCAGAAACCCTGTTAGGAAGCAGTTGGAAGCATCCTTAGAAACTGCCATCATAGGTTTCTTTGAGCAGACTGACTTCTTACCATGAGGGTTAGTTGAGAAACCTGGACACAGGTTTGTTCTAGCCAATGGGAGTGGAGGAAAGAGCGCTAAGGGTGGGGAATCGTTGGTCAGGTCAGGGATAAAGACATTGGTCATCTTGAAGGCTCCCATAGCTCTGGCATTCTGTTATGTCTGATTTTTTTTTTTTTTTAAGATTTGATTTTATTTATTTGTGAGAGAGAAAGAGAGAGAGCACAAGCAGGGCGAGTGGCAGGCAGAGGGAGAAGCAGGCTCCCCGCTGAGCAGGGAGCCCGATGCGGGACTCGATCCCAGGACCCTGGGGTCATGACCTGAGCTGAAGGCAGATGCCTAACTGACAGAGCCACCCAGGCATCCCTGTGAATGCCTGATTTTAAGAAATCTAGAACTGTAGATGAGATTTTCTTCTAGTTAAGGAGCCAAAAGGAAACAGTCTTAGGAACATCAGAAGGTATGGTGGGTACACACCACTGAGAGTGGGGTTCTACATTCCTAACCTTGCCTTGAGGCCTGCTTGGTTTCTTTTTCCTCCTCCCTTTTTCCTCCATAAAGTGTGAAGGTGTTTTCTTTCGACCTTTAGCTCCAGGCAAGGCCACCTGTAGATGGAATAGGACAATCTATTGTGAACTATGACGTAAATGTTTTGCTGAGAGTTTCTGGGTGTGTCAGTTTTCACTGGCTTGTTGGATTTGTTTGTTCAAGGTTTCGAGAGCCTTAAAAAAAAAAAAAACTAAAGAGAGACTAGTGCTGGTAATATTAGAGTTCCAGTGAACTTTGGCCTCTCATCTGATTTTTACTGTCCTGCGGTTTTAATCAGTTCTAGGTGCTTTTGATAATTGGGCAAAATATAGCCATAATAATTTATGGACATGATAATGACAGTGAAGCAGAAAGCACTTTACTTTTATTTATTTATTTATTAAATTTATCATTTTATTTTTTTAAGGATTTTATTTTTAAGTAATCTCTACACCCAGTGTGGGGCTCGAACCCACAAATGCGAGATTGAGAGTTGCATGCTCCACTGACTGAGCCATCCAGGTGCCCCAGCCCTGGCTGGTTTCTCATCTCTTTTCCTCTTCCCTTAGCTTCCCCAGTGCCTAAGAAATGCTATTGAAATAAGCTATTTGGAGGTGATTTTAGCCACAGTTATTTTGCTTTTCCATCCATTCTCCCCTTACCTGCCCAAGTTTACTTTGCTGAACTCAGTCCCTCTTTCTTGTTTCTTCTGTTTCCTTCCACAACTCTCCTTTCTGTGCTCTTTTGCTCCATTCTGCTCAACACCTCTGTCCCTTTGATAACATAATGTGGCAGGATTTGAGTCCCCTTAATGCCCGTGGTTCTTGGTCACACCACTTCCAAGAATGAAGAGGTAGACCAGATGAATAGTGGTGGGCAGCAAAGCAAAGTTTATTGAGCAAGAGTATAAAGCTCCCAGAAAGGGAAGGGGGCTCAGTGGGTTGCCCTCGGAGTTTCTAAGTTTAGGGGTTATTATGACCTCTTTTGCGGAGCTATCTTAAGCAATCAGGGTTTGCTGAGTCGTGCCAATCAGGGCTTTGGTCACGTATTTGTCTACCTGTTAGGTTAATGTTTCTGTGCTGATGGTCTTTTTTTCTTACTGACATCTGGAAGCTTGTGTCTTAACTGCCCCTTGCCGGTGATATTGACAAATGCTTTGTGGTTAATTGTCTTATTTTAGGTCGTTTTGCAGAAATCATTTCTGCAAAGGCTGCAAAACAGAATGTTAGTGAGGTCCTGTATAAGCTGCAGAACAGGATGTCAGTGTTGTTTTATTTTAGCTGTTCTGACTCCGTATCTTCTTGTTGGGGACCCTACCCTGACTGCCTGTCAGCCAAGTCCTAACGATAGCCCAGGTGAAAATGTTTGACGCTGCATATAAAGTGCCTGACAGTGGATTAGTGATTTTTCTTCCTTTTGGTTTTTAGAAATTAATACCATGAAAATAATCTTCACTTAAAATAATGGAAAGAAAACCTAGCATTCATTACTTGTACTAAGTGAGGACTAAAATTTGACTTCTAGGGGCTCCTGGGTGGCTCAGTTGGTTAAGCTTCCGACTCTTGATTTTCGGCTTAGGTCATGATCTCAGGGTTGTGAGATTGAGCCCAACATGGGGCTCTGCACTGAGCGTGGAGCCTGTTTAAGATTCTCTCTCTCAGGGTGCCTGGGTGGGTCAGTCGTTAAGCGTCTGCCTTCGGCTCAGGTCATGGTCCCACGGCCCTGGGATCGAGCCCCGCATCGGGCTCCCTGCTCGGCCAGAAGCCTGCTTCTCCCTCTCCCACTCCCCCTGCTTGTGTTCCCTCTCTCGCTGTGTCTCTCTCTGTCAAATAAATAAATATATCTCTCTCTCTCCCCCTCTGCTCTTCCCTCACTCTCTCTCAAAAAATTAAATAAATAAAAATATAAAATTTGAATTGTAGGGAACTGAGATAAGATACTCCCCATATAGCTAATAATGGTTTTTTTGTTGGGCAGGGGGAGAAAAACTTACTAAAGGAACAATTAGCTACTGAAAATTAGTTTCCTTCTTCCCTATGTATTAGGGTAGGCGTAGACATTCATTATTTTATTAGATCTTACTGCCTTTCCTGGATTTTTAAAATCTTTAGGATCAGAACCTCCAGAGCAAAGGCACCTCAAAAGTTGTGTCTTAAGAGTTTTAAGCAGGCTTCAGCCCTTAGGTTTTATGTGTGGGAAAATGTACAACTCTGTAATTTCCTGTTTCTGAATCTCCAGCACCATGGTTTCTTTGCCTTCCTAGGGAGTCTTAGGGTTGTTGCTTTTTTTTTCCCCTTCCCCTTTCTGGATATCTTGTACTTTATAAAATAAGCAGGCGGTGTTTGCACACTATTGTGGGTGTTAACCTGGTCCTTTGTAGTCAGTCACTTAAGTTTGTACCAGCATTGTTGTATATCAGATGTTTGAAGGTTCTTTTAATAAATTTGCAGATGTTATTTTTTCTGTTATGTCCTCAAATTCCAGATCTAGTTGGTACTTTTTCTGAATTAAAATATATATATATATATTGGGGTCCCTGTGTGGCTCAGTTGGTTAAGCATCTGCTTTTGGCTCAGGTCATGATCCCAGGGTCCTGGCATTGGGCTCCCTGCTCATCGGAGAGCCTGCTTCTCCCTCTACCCCTCCCCACCGACTCGTGCGCTCTCTCACACTCTCTCTTTCTCTGAAATAAATAAGATCTTTAAAAAAAAAAAATATATATATATATATAGTGTAACTGGGTGATGGGCATTAAGGAGGGCACATGATATGAGCACTGGATGTTATACGCAACTAATGAGTCATTGAATACTACATCAAAAACTAAAGATGTACTCTATGTTGGCTAGCTGAATTTAAATGAAAAATAACATATTTATGTATTTTTAAAATTTATTGTTTGGTAACTAGAGATTTTGAAACTACAGTGAACTATAAAGAAAATTCTTCCACCCTGAGGTACCATTTTGGTGTATTTTCTTTAATCCCTCCCCCCCCTTCTTATTCTAAATCAGAAGTACGATAATGTTCCCTCTCAGTGTGAAATTCTACTTTTGGATTTAACATTATAAGCTTTTTATCACATCATTAAATATTCCTCATTTTTTGATACTTTTAATTTTATTGAAGTACAATGTATATCTGTATGTACAGAGTAAAGTACAGTAGGTACACCAGTTGCCTAGCTTGGTGAGTTTTTATACATATACATAACTCACCCAGATCAAGATAGAGTTTATTCCAGTGTCCATGGTTTCCTCATGCCCTTTCTCAGTATCCCCTAGAGGATGGTAACCCCTCTCATTATTGTTTGATTGGT